GCGTGCGGTTGGGTCCGGTGGCGATGGGTGCCCGGGACCTCAGCACTGTCTGATCGCGTCTCCCTTTGCGTTTTCCCCTTGGCAGCCGCCTCCCTCTGCGGCGGCACCAGGGTGATGAAGACGGATGAAGCGATCCTCTTCTCCACTTTCCCCGGCAGCATCGCCGAAGCCGCGGAAGGGCCGGACCTGGGTTTGATTTTGAGGAAAATAAGATAAAAAGGAGTGAAAGCTGCGGGCACGCCAACAGCTCCTGCAGCCTCGCCGGCCTTCGGCCTCAACCCGCCTCCCTCCTCGCCCTCCCGGAAAGGGAGAAGGAACGAGCGTCCCCGTCCCACGTCACAGCAATAAATAGTCTCGTGCCTGGGAGGACACAGGGTAAAGAGTCTCGGTGAAGCAGCAGCCGAAATCACCCATTTTCATGCCTCTGTGGCCAAATCCCGCCCTTTTCTAAGCATTTTAACCCCTTTTATTTCCTCTTATAGCCCCCACCTGGGACTAAACTCCCTGTGGGCAGCAGGAAAACCCCACTTTTCCTTTTAAAAACAGGGTCGCAATAGGATCTGCTTTTGCCAAACCCTTTTTTGGGGTGTTTGGGGCTCCCCATTCCCTCCCATTTCCCCATTAATCACTCCCAGCTTGGGGATCCCCCCCTTTTATTTTTACAGATGGGGAAACTGAGGCACGATATCGCGCATCGCCGCATTCCCGCCACCGAAACGGCCCCCAAGCGTCGCCTGGCGGTGCAGGCAGGATGTGCCTGACCCCGATAAACCCTGCTCGGGAAGGAAAAGAGCTGTTTATTCAGCTTCCCAACGGGAAAAGCAGCCGGGGCGAAGCTTCCCCTTCCCAACCGGAATTATCCTGGAGGGGGGGGGGAACCCCAAGGCTTTTAACTGGGACGCTGCACCAGTGAAGCAGGATTCATCCCCGAGATGAATCAGTTGCCTGAAAAATACCTGTGCGATGAGTTGCCCGGTCTCATGCCCTGGCACGAGGTGGCTCCGCTCCCCCAAAATCCCGCTCGCGGGTGTCAGTGCATCCTTTCGGGGGGTGGCCGGTTCCCCCGTGGTGGGGGAAAAGCTTCG